TATTTTTATACATGCCCTCTATGTATTTATCCATTTATTTTTCAGGTGAGCTGACAGGTGTTGGGTGTGTGGTCCTGTGTTTTGTTGGTGTATATTTAATATACTTCTAATCGTTATTTCAATCTTTCTAATTACATCTCTCTCTGTTTTTCTCTCTGTCTTTATTTTCTCTTCACTTAAAAAAGTCACTGATGATGAAGAAATAAATAAACTAAATAAACTAAAAAAAGGAGCACCGAGGGCACGCTGACAAATTAACTAGAGACCAAAATCGCTTTCTTCTTAGAGACGAGTGAGGAGAAAACGGCAACTCTGATGAGGGAGGAAAGGTAAAATTTGTGCTCTTCTTTTGACCCATCACACATGTGACACACCCAAGACATATGGGCATGGCAGTGTATTGGACCTGTGGCTCTTTTGGATCCAATTCAGCAGCTTACCACTGCTCCACAGACATCCCCTTTATAATCCCATTTTTATGTCATTATTATGAGGTGGAGTGTAGATTAATGAGAACAAATATTAATGTAACATCAGGCTGCACCATACTGTATCATTTTTTAAAAGTGAATGGCGGTCCAAATATTTGAATATTGGAGCAGTGGTTAACACTCTTAATTCGCAGCAAAATGCCAAGGTGGTCCTTGGTCAGACTCACAGCTCAGACATTGGTGTGGAGTTTGTGTCTCTTGTCCAGTTTTGTCTGGTCTCCTCCCACTGTTGGAACATTTGCATGTTGCCTTCCTAACCTGAGCTTTAAACCTGTCAAATATGAATCAACCTAAAGAAATGATGGACATCGTATTTATTTATTATGACTCTTGTAATTCCTTATCTTGATGACAGCATTGTTAAGTTGAGATTTCCATACATTTTACAAAAAGAGCTCCCAATAAATAGTGATATCGTTGTTAGCACAGGGATAGTTTACATCAAGCAAAAGACCCTCCAAAGTAAAAAKACATGCAGAGCTTCCCTAATTTATGAGCATAAAAAAGAACTAAACAAATAGCTAAAAGATGTTCAAGTTGTAGTAATTTATAGTTCCTATGTAGCACACAACAGTCTTTTACACTGAGCTTTAAAATGTCATTTCACCACTTTCTGTATATTAAGCTTAGGAAAGGCTGTTTAATTTTTACTTCACTAGCTGCGTTTCCATTGCAAATGTGCACAAAACTTTGTCGATATTCTGTTAATGTTGAAAAAACACAATTTCGCAACTGCAGTGTTTCCATTAAGATATGCTATTAAAGTCATGCGTGAATACGTTTGTTCTCATGATAAGTCATTACAAACATGGTGGCGATGGATGTAAACACATAGCATGTTGCTACCACGACACTAGCGCTCATCATCAGAGGAGACGTCGGCGTCTTTTATCGAGGCTTTCCAGAGACAAGTCCCTWCTTGGGAGCGGCTACGTATGCTGTGTTTTTGGGAAATTGTAGTCGGTGAATTTACTATTTTATACTACTTCTGTGATATTACTACTACTTCTACTTCCTGTTATCTTCTTCACCGTCTTTTTCACCAGTAGAAACAGACGGTTGTTGACCACGTGACTCCTGTGATGCGAAAAAAGTGTTTCCATTGCAGTTTTGCGAAAAACACAAATTTCGATACAGCCAAAAAACCACCTCATCTTAGCGCAAAAACATTTTGTCGAAAAACGTAATTTTTTTCAAAATTGACGTGTTTCCATTGAGCAAATTTATTTTTGAAATTTTAATTTGCGCATTTTCATGGTCAATGGAAACGCAGCTAGTGTCATATCATCAGTTCATCAGTGCAGGATTTCTTTCTATCAAGATGCAAATCCTTTTATTTTCATTGCTGTGGATTTTCTTCACAGATAGACTGACCAGTAAACAACATTGAAGAAGAGGAAAGAGAAGGGGAAGAGGGCTCTTGCATAGAGATCAATGCGTTTAGCTGCAGCTGGTATGACAGGTTTGGGGGGTGGCGGCTTTGCATTAACTTTGTTTTGTGATTTAAGGGCCCCTGTAACTTCGACAGGTTTACCATAACAGTCAAAGTTGGAAAGTTCAAAGTCTCGAGGCAAAGATCCAACAATGCTGAAGTCATTGGAACGAAGGTCTGATTTGGAGGTGCAAACCTTCTTACAGCGATTTTCAACCACCTGTCAAAAGATAAAGACAATATTAATGAAATATTTTCTTCTACCTCAGCTTTAATGCTACTATTTGTCATATTCAAGCTTGTSACACAAGTTGCTGTCACCTGCAGAGTGTTGACATGTATGGGTGTCCCATCAGTCCCATTGACTGTATTGGATTTGTTTGATGGCTTCTTGGCTTCACTCTCTTTCAAAGCTTTTTCCTTTGTGACCATTTTAGCTTTCTCCTGTTCAATCAGTTTGGGACTATTCAGTATCACCTAAAAAGTCACAAGAAAAACTGGTTAGAGACAAAAGTTGTAAATAATGATGAGATTTGGGCAATGATCATTTCCAATGTTCTGCTTCGTTGAATAATACWAAGAAAATCAAGACTTTGTGTCCACCCCAAACATAGCCATTTCTCCGTGGTTCCAATAATCCAGAGATTTAGACAAAAGAACAGCTACAATGTACCTGTTCATCTCACTCAAAGTACACAGTACTATTAACACAGCAGATGTTTCAGAATACTGGCACAAAGSTCCAATGTGGAGTTTTTCCTGTGACTGTATTTTCTGTAAAAATGAAAAATTGACKAAGTTGGAAAYTCATCTGCGTTCACTCCATAAAAGGGCATCATAGTTGACATGGTGCTACATGACACTACCCTCAGAATTACAGCAGTGAGACAACAATGAAAATTGTGCTAAAAAAGACAACCATGTCCTCCAAATAAACAGGGTGTTCACGAAGCAAGTCTACGGAGAACGTTTTGAATGCAACTCAGAAAGGTTAATAGAACTTGCACATTTTAGCAAATCAAAGCTAACCCACATACTATACATCATCCATTACAACGTAAAAGGTTGGGAGCTGAACTGGCCTGTCTCCAAGTCAGACCTCTCACCAAATGAAAACATTTAGTGCATCATGAAATAAAAACTCCAGCAAAGAAGAACCAAGACTGTCGAACGTCAACTTAGAATTCTACACCAGACCAGAATGGGACAACATTCCTCTTCAAAATCTCCAGCTGCTAGTCTCTTCAGTTCCTCTGTGTTTACAAAGTGTTGTTAAAAAAGGGAATGCTTCACAGTGGGAAACATTGAACCCAGCTGCCTGAGATTTGGCCAATTTATGTTATACTCTGAAAATATAAAACGGTTTGATTCAGGTGAGGGACAGAAAAGGGATGCCTCATTAAGTAAAAAAAAAAAAACATCATTTGAGTATAGAGAGATGTTATGTTCCCTCTCACAAACTGTACTGACAAAATAAATTATTCTGCTTCATAACTTGAATGAAAGGCTCATACAGCCTGCCAATTTGTGCCCCCAATAAAATGAAATGTTATATTTAAGTTCTGTTTGTATAGAAATATTTTTCCTTTATTGCCTGCATCACAATTTCACATATTTATATAAATATTTACAGCATATCCTTGTCCTAATTAGAAGAAGCAGTTATTCAAAATWTATAATTTACTGCTCTTCACAATGGGTGGACAAAAAGACAAGGTCTTGTTGGTTTTGGCCCTCCAACATAGCTCAGGTTTCTCATGTGGCCCCTGGAAAAAAAATTATTGCCCACCCCTGGTTTTGGGTTAGGGGTCATCATGTTAGGAGAGTATTTACTCATAGGGTCCCTCCTGCCATCCGATAGCTCTGCAGAGTTGGTAAATCCCTTAGGAAGTGCACACTTGCTTGAGATCAGGTCCAGTCCTGGGCCACTGGGTCCTATCTTTATGTGAAGTGCATGGTGGAGTCGGCTGTTCCAGTTGGAGACAGCCTGTTGATTTGTATGTGCTGTAAGATGTAGTGGAATATGGCTGGCATATTCTGGTGAGTGTACATGTAGTGTTTGAATATCACTCAGCCAGTGCATTGAGTGTTTGTCGGGCTGTGCTTCAAAGGCAGAGAGGAGAGTTCTGAGCAGGGAGGAATACAGGAAGACAGAGGAGGGTGAGAGTTAGGGGAGGGGTCAGGAATTGTTGGGGGTGTGGTCTGATGGGTGTATATAGGAAGTTTACAGTGGGGTTAATCTAATCAAAACAAATGTTTAGATTTAGAAGAATTCCTTCTAGTGACTGTTTACAGTTCATTGAGGTTAAGTTTAGTAATATTTTATGGTCCAGATGTATACAGCGGGTAAAATAAGTATTGAACACATCACCATTTTTCTCAGTAAATATATTACTAGAGGTGCTAATG